CTCAGGCAAAGGGAATAACATAGACAAAGTCATGTGCATATAAAAGCTCTGAGATCATACTTAAAGGATAGTGACTATTGAGTATGGTATGCTGGAGTGTAGGGTTTGTAGAAGTTTGTGGCAGAATGTGAGGGTAGAGAGGTAGCAAGAAGCAGAATATAAAGAACTTGTATGCTATGACTAAGAGTTCAAACTTAGCTCTATAAGTAACGGAAAGGCATTAACAACATTAAGCAGTAGGGCTGGGGTTCTTCTCAAGTGGTAGAGCACCTGCCTATCAAGCACACGATCCTGAGTTCAAACCCCAGTACCACCAAAACAAACAAACAAGCAACAAGAAAAAAAACATTAAGTAGGAGCACTGACATAATCAAATGTGTACTTTAAAAGAGAAAAGTTGATGAATATGGAAGGAAACTAAAGATGGAAAAAGATGAAGAGAAAGTGAGGCAAGTTGAGCACTTTCCATGAGGGTCCATGATCGAAGATGACACAGGCAGCAGGAATGAAGAAGAGACAGAGTTAATCAGAATATTCAAAGTAGCAGAGCTTAGCAACCAAGTGCTGCTGATGTCAGGGGGAGTAAAAGAAGTCAAGGATGACTTCCAGGTCTCTAGCTTGGCCAAATGGGAACACAGTGGATCTGTTAACCCCAGAAATGAATATAAAAGATAAACGATGTCAAAGACTCCAGTTTGAGCATGTGACACTGAGGTACTGTAATGGGTTGAATTTGAAATGTCTGCCACAGGCTAATATGTTGAACACTTGGTCCCCAGTCAGTGGCACTATTTTGGGAGGTCATAGAAACTTCAGAAGGTAGAACAGAATGGAGGAAGCAGGTCACTGGGGTGGGTCCTTGGGGTATATTATTCCTGGTACCTTCTTGTCCACTAACTGAAGAAAAGCCTCCAACGCACACTTCCACTGCAGTGATGCTCTGCCCAGGTACATGGGGCCCAGCAACCATGGACCAAATTCTGAAATCATGAGCCAAATAAATCTTCCTTCCTTAAGTGGCTTTGCTCAGGTTTTGGTCACAGCGATGCAAAACCCTATACCTTTGGATATTCATAGGGTGTTATCTAATAGCAGTCAAATACAGATATTTACATACTATCATCCTTTTACTATACTTTTAATTATTCTAATCCATGGGCTTGGAACTCTTCCATAGCTTCTCACTGTCTATAGGACAAAGTTCAAATTCTTAGTTGATTACTGAAATGCCTTCACACTGTAGACCTAATGTTCCTCACAAGTCTTTACTTCCAATACTTTCCTACTGCCTATAGTATTTGTTCTCACAATATAGTACGTGGCACTGGCATCCCCTAGGAAGCTGTTAAAATGAAATTTCACAGGCACCACTACAGACACATGGAATCAGACTCCGTGGGTGTGATCCAGCAACCTGTGTTTAACAATCCTTGGTGATTCTGATGCTTGCTGAAATTTAAGAACCACTGATCTGTGGATCTGTGAACTTAAAAAAAGTGTACTGTGTGCTAGTCACCCAAGGTGCTCCTTTCTTCTAACTCATGCCATTTTCATCAAAAGACCTTTGCATCAGCAGAGCACTTTACATAAATCAAGTAGATGATTAATAACTGTCGAGTCACATCTCTTTGCTTTTCACATATATATGTATATGTATATATATGTAATATGTGGTGGGACTGGGGTTTGAATTCAGGGCTTTATGCTTGCAAAGCAGGCACTTTGCCACTTGAGCCATGTCTTCAGTCCATTTTGCTCTGGTTAAAGATGGGGGTCTTCTCAAAGTATTTGCTCGAGTTGACCTCAAACCATGATCCTCTCAATCCCAACCTCCCAAGTAGCAAGGATTACAGGTGTGAACCACCAACACCTGGCTGTATTTATTGATTATAACTTAGGTCAATACAGTTTTCTGACAAATACTGCTAGTAAAATGTATATACTGTCACCTACTAACGAGTCACAAGTATTAAGCAGATCTTCATTTATACAAATATATATTTACTCAAAGAAATAACGGTACAAAGGATTCCTATGGTCCCCCTACAAGAAGGTGACAAATTAAGCATCTTGTTGAAAAATACAAGTGTCTTTCTTTAGCTCACATTTAGAGCAAATGCCTAAAATGATTCTAGCCCATACCATATACTACAGAGCTTCTTTTTTTCCCCTCTCTGCTCATTTTCATTGGAATTTGGAAATGAAAGAACTTTTGTTTTAAGGATGAAATAGTTCATGGGTCTCAACACAACTTGGAAGAAACGGGAGCAGAGTAAGAAAACTGACTCTTAAGGAAGACAACCGAAGGCCATCGGTGCTTTCATATACTAGATGTGTGTTCTTGGGCAACTTAATCTCTGTGTGTTTTCTTGTCTGTAAATTATGACTTTGAGAATTAAGGAGTGCACATAAGATGTTTAGAACAGAGTCTGAGATATGAAATGTACTAGACAGCTCCTTTTCTTGGCTCTTGGTAACCTGCTGAAGTGTTTTGAACAATCACTTCACAATCTGAAAAAGGATACAAATCGAAGACCTCAGTGGTCCTTTATAAAACATAGACCACATATTATCACAATAAATCTATCTTATTTGATTAAATCTATTATTTAACAAAACCTAACTATGAAAACAGTCCATTCTCGGTGGCTGAGAAAGTAGCATTTTATTACATTCTAGTTATTTTAAAAAAGTCAATAAAATTTGTAAGCTAAAAAGCTAGAAAGGAAAAATTTACATATAAATGAAAAATCTAAATATATTTGGTCTCCATGGATGTATATTCATTCATTATTTGTATCGATTATTTGTAAAGGAATAAAAGTAAATCAAGACCTGTAGAAACAAAGCCATGTTGCAATCAGAAAACTTTACTTAAGTTCTCCCTGTCATGCAGATTCCCACAAGGATGATGACACTCTGAATCTAACCATGTTGAAGGACAAACATGAAACTGCATGTCAACATTGTCAAAGCTTTTAAATACACACATCATCACAGACATACACATTTTGCTGTTGGCTAGGATCCAACTACTTAAGGATTCTTGTTAAAAGAATTATTTTTTAGTATGCTTATACTTAAGCAATATGAAATTATAGTTTCCAACTACTCTAAGTTCCCTGGTGTGTCTAAAATGATTATTTGCTGTAAGAAAATTATAAAGCTCAATTTGGATTCCAACATGCTGGTTACAGTCAGTTTTTAATTGCAATCAATTCTTTTAGGCTTGGCTTTGAGAAAAAATAATCTCTTTGAGAAATATGTAACTGACGGCTATAATATAAAACCACAGAAAAAACTAAGGCAGATGCTATTTTAGAGAATGTCTGATTAATAACAATCACTTGCTCCTTGAACTGTTATCGGAATTGCAAAACAGTCTGTCTTCTTATCTCAGAGGGACAGTTGTCCTAGCCCCTTTCCAAGTGACCCTCTGTCACTGTACTTGATAACCTTCCCCTCTGCCACCCAATATCTGCCTAAAAATATGCTGAGGCTTTATAGCTATATCAATACACATCTCTATCTCTAGGTCTGAGTCTGTATCTATCTATATATAATTTATCACCAGATCTGTCTTTCTTGACATGGCTTTTTCCACATCAACTACAGTCCTATTTTTCTTTTTCTAACAAATATCCAGAAAAAAGACATATCTACTTCAAGTGCTCACTAACTCATTCCTTAGTGCCTTGTAGTTTAGCTTCTCACTCTCCACCGTGCCTAAGTAATTTTGTATTGGATGGAAGAGGGTCCTCCAAAAATTCTTGTCTCTCCAGAACCTGTTAATGTGACCTTATTTGGAAACAAGGTCTTTGCAGATGAAATCAAGTTAAGATGACACCATACTGGATTAGAGTGGGCCCTAAATCCAATGACCGGTATCCTTATAAGAAGAGGAAAATTCAGACATAAAGTCACAGGCACATATACCACGTGAAGGAGGCAGAGGGCTGGAGGTGTGGCTCAGGAGGTAGAGCACCTGCCTAGGGGTGAGGCCCTGAGTTCAAGCCCCAGTACTGGGGGTAAGTAAAAGAGGCAGAAAGTGGAGTGATGCAGTGTAAGTCACAGAATAACAAAGACTGACTAGAACTGCATGTGTTTGCAGAAAGCAGAAGAGACAAGAAAGGACTCTTCCCAAGGGCCTGCTGACAACTGGTTTCAGCCCTGTGTCCTCCAGAACCATGGAAGAGTGTCTATTGTTTAAAGGAACACTGTCTGTGGTACTTTGTTACTGGGAAACCAGCATATTCTCCTACTCACAAAATCCATCCCTTTATATTCTTCACTTTCCTTGGTGTAAGGGTCAAGACATTAAAAAAAAAAAAAAAAAAGGAAGGGTCAGTTGGGTCAGTTTTCCCTTTTGTAAGAAAATTCTACATTGGAATTTAAGTCTCCAGTAACTTCTTCTTGAGCTCCTTACTGTGGGCTTCATCCAAAGCCCTCTGCCCCATCCTTACCTTTCTCCCACAGGGACCACTCCCACTCTTGTGATTTCAGTCACTGCTTCTCTGTAAACTCTCAACCTAAATCTTCAACTGTGACCTGTCTTGTAGCATTAACTCTTACAGTATCAGTAGCTATAATTTTTAAACACAAATTTTTAAATATTTATTTATTTACTATTCTGGGGCTTGAACTCAGGGCCTTGTGCTTGCTAGACATACAGTCTACCATTTAAGCCACTCCACCAGCCCTTTATTTTTAATTTTAGAGGCATTTTTCCAGCAAGAGCCACATAGCAACTTGTATATGCTAATGTAAGCACTTTACATATATTAACTTATTAACTATTCACAAAACCTTATGAGACCGTTACTGCTATTATCCCCTAGTTTAAAATGAGGAAGCTATGTGAGGTCTGGGTGGCTAAATAATCTGTCCCGTGTCCCCGGGTCAGTAAGTGGCAGCGCTATGTACAAACCCAACACAGTGGGTCTTAAATGTCTCTTTGAGAATTTGGTCATTCTTCACAGAAAAACAGAAAAAAAGCTTACCATAAACTTTTAGAGTATTCACAAATCTCCTAGACGTACACTTCAGATTCCAGGTTAAGAAGACCTATATTGGATGGAGAATGATGGAAGGAGTGAATTCAACTATGATATATTGTAAGAACTTTTGTACATGTCACAATGTATCCCCAGTATAATAATAATAATAATAATAACAAAAGTTAAAAAATATCTACCTTGGGAAAAATACACCTATATTGGAAAGACCTGAATCATTACAAAAACACTAGTCAAAAGAAAAAAAGCTGTATTTAATAGTCTAATTTTATTGAGCAAGGTAATTCTTTAGGGAACATAATTTCTGCTTTCAGAAAAGTAAGTGAATCTTATCATAAATGGTGAACATCCATTTATGAGCAGAACACAAATGCACTGAATGACTCCAAATCCAGACAACATGTAAACAAATGATTATTGAACAATGCAATAATGACAAAAATTGTAACCTTTGTGGATTTGTGGGGAATAACAGAAAAGAAAAAGATGGAAATGAGCAAAGAAATCAGATTTAAAACCCCGATTATAGTCAGGTAAACAAAAATCCATTTAAGGTATGGCTAGTGAGATTCTAACCTAAGAGTGGAATTGCCAGTGGTCAAAGGTCATCAAAGTGGAAAACAACTGCCCACTTTTAGGGGCTGATTAGATGGAGATGGAAGGGGATGAAGAGCAGCTTGGGGATTTCAAGGTAGGGTTCGTAGGTGTAGAGACGCCACTGAGACAAGGCAGAAGAAACAGTCTGTTTGGACATGTTGCATATACGGTGGGAGTCAGGTGTTATAGTTTGGATCTGGAATTTCCTCCAAGGATTCTTGCATTGAAGGCCTGATCCACAGTGCAGCAGAGGTCATGCTGCAGCACTGAGATGCAATTTCTTCTCCAGGGGACTTCAGTTCTGGCTTTAAACCTTTCCAACTCATTACATGAGCCCACCCCATCACCTTCTTCAAAGTAAATTGATTTTTATGTTAACCTTATCTGCAAAATACTTTCCCCACTCACACCAAATAAGGATGTGACTAAGCAACTGGGTACTATAGCTTAGCCAGTGACACATAAAACTATCTCCAGACTGAAGAAAAAACCCAACCCTCAATGGGAAAATAAAGTTTGTAAATATTGCCAAGCAGTCAGAGAAGTAGAGCACCTGAAAAAGAGTTCATAGGAACCAAAAATGCAGAGGCCATTCCAATGATAAACAGGTCTAAATCTGCTCATGAATTTTGGCATTTAGTAATTAATTGTGACCTGCCACTATCTGTCTCAGTGGGATGTAGGGAAAGGGACTAGATTGCAGTGGTTGAAAAGTGAAATGATGAGGAAGTAAAAAAAGTGAGATGAGGAAGTAAAAGCATGATTGCAGTATGAGAAACAGTAATGGAAAAGTTCCAAATGAAAAAGTTTTTCCCTTCCTTCTATTGGGGCTTCCCCATTATCAAATTATTTGGGCTTTCCCCGAGGGTCACACCACTTCCGGAAGGGGCAGCCCTGTAACAGGTGCAGTAATGGCTGTTTAGATGCCAAGCATTATGAGAATTATTCTCATAATGTCAAGCAGAACTGATCATTTTTGAGCCTCGACAAACCTGTAGCAGCCAAAATGTACTGAGTGTGCATCTTGTGTAAAAGGCCAAGCTAAGACTGGTGAAAAGAGGACAGAGTGAGAGGTGACCACCAGAGTCCAATGATAAAATACAGTTCTCCAAAGATTAGTGTTAACTGACGTTGTTCCTTTCACTTGAATTGGCAATCAGTCCTAACATTTGCTTGGCACTGGAGATAAAGAGAAACATGAGCTACTAATCATGTCCTCTGACATCCAAGGATTTATATTTAACTGTATGCTTGTTGGTTGGTTGCACCCATAGGTAGGCAGGACAACTCAGAGGTTAAAAGCCTGGAGTCAAATGGGGTCACCCAGGGTCAAGCTCACATCTAAACACTCTGAATTTTAGTTTTCTCTTTAATTAGATAAGCTATGTATCTCCTAAGGTATTGAACCAATGAGATGAGAAAATTTAAAGTATCTAGTATGGTTTTTAGTATATGGAAGATAATCAATTAAAGGAAGTGACTTATTATTACAACATTTCATCTAAACTTATTTAATAAGTAACACTGAGACTCCAAAAGAATGTCTCAGGCTGATGAGTATGCAGGTTAGGAATCAAAACTCAGAATGCTTTAACTGGGAGAACCAGGCTTCTAAATATTTCCAGAACATGTGCTAATGTATTTTTCATGTTCTTCACAATAGTCTTAAATTTTCAAAAAGTTTAGTCAGTTGACACTATTTTTACTAGAATAATAAAAAAAAGCTACAATTTTCTCTATTTCCTTTTAAGACCTGAAAATAATGTCGTTAGTCTGTCTTAGCAGCAACTATTATTCTTTGCTTTTCACTAGAATATATTGTCTTAAAAAAAAGCCAACTAAATACACCTGCTTCAGAATACCCTTAATTGCCTTTTACTTTCTCCTTTTTTTTCTTTTCTATAATACAGGGACACAGTTCTCCCTGCTTTTGAAGAATGTAGCATTGACTTAATTCCTTCTTGGCTCATCTCTATTTTCCAGTATTGAGGGAACACACTGATACACTGTAACTGCACTTGATCAGTGGGCCAACCCTGACTTTCATAGTACTCAAAGGAAACAAATGAAGCAGAGGGATTACTTGGTGGCCTGGCTCTAGCAGTGGAAGAGGCTGCTGCAAGTACACTCCAAGTAGTCAAATCTTTGGCTATTCACTGGAGTGAAAAATTCATCAGACATTGTATTCTACCCTATAAATCTTAAGATGCTTTCACATTCATCTTTACTGATCTCTGAAACAGAAGATATTATGGGAAAAGCTTAAATTTTGGAGTAAAAAAATAACTGGGCTTCATCATTTACTAGCTTTTTGTCTTTGGTTAGTTACTTTAACCTTCCCTAATTTCAATATACTGACCTGTAAAATGTCACAACCTACCAAGATTGTGACTATGGTAAGGGATAACTAAAAGATACCTAACTTACAGCATGCTCTAAGCAAGATTTCTCCTGTGATCCTGATTTTGACTTGACAGGTGTTCTTTACCTTCACTAATTCAATTAATGGTAGACATTTAATTAATGATGAGGCAAATTAGAGCTAATGACTTATTATTTCATTATTACTTTTATTATTTTGCTGTGCTGGGGCTTGAACTCAGGGCCTACACCTTGAGCCACTCCACCAGCCCTTTTTTGTGATGGTATTTTTTGAGATAGGGTCTCATGAACTATTTGCCTGGGCTGGCTTCAAACCACAATGCTTCTGATTTCTGCCTCTTGAGTGGCTAGGATCACAGGTGGGAGCTATCATTGCCTGGCTCTGCGTTATTATTTTAAACAAGTAACCTTCCATTTGAAAATGATTTTAGATCATAGCATGCCATTTTGGGAAAATGCAATTACATAATGGAATACAGAGGTACTGGTAATTGAAGTGTTAACAAGAGATTTGTTCTAAGTGTTAGGAATGTTTTGAGTGTATGTTTGGTATACACTGAGTTTTGTCTGTTAAATTTAACCGTGAAATTTACAGATCTTAAGTGTAAAACTGGATAGATTTTGACAACCACATATACCCACGTATCCAGCAACCAGTCAAGATTATCACTTTAGATAGTTCCCTACAGAGCCTTCCAGTCAAGCCTCAGCCTCACAGGCAGCTACCTACTCTGCCTGTTTTTAAATGCACACAAATTACTTTAACCAATATTTCTTCCTTTGTGTCTGGCTTTTGTTGATCAATATGTTTCTGTGATTCACCCAGCATTCAGTGTGCATCAGTAGTTTACTTTTGATTGCTTATAGTATAGTATTCTACTGTGCGACTACATGCACAGTAGATGAATTTTTAAAGCCTGTCCTTTGGATGGTCTTAAATAAAACTCATAAGAGGCCACTGTTTTGGACTAAGGTCCTACTCCAACAGACCATACTAAAATTTGAAATGGAGTTGTCCATGCTAAAGTACCCCAAACGCAAGCTATGTTGTTATCTGACCCGAGAATTCAGGAGAAAGGCATAGCAACCAAATTTTCCAAATAGTCCTGTTTCAGCTAGCAGGAGAGTGATGTTCCCTCTGCTTTAATCTTTACCAAGAAGTTAGCCTGAAGTTAACCAGTTATTTTGTCTATTGTTGCCTTGTGTGTCCCCGCCTTACATGGAAACTAATTTTGAAATAACTAATTTCTTTTTGCTTCATTTCTCTTTTCTTTAGCCCTTTTATCGCTATAAAGCCAACCTCTTCTACTGAACTCATTGAGACATTTACTCTATTTTAATGAGGAGTAGCCTGATTCTAAAATAAACACATGTCATAATTTTGTCCTCTGACATTTAGACGGTTTCCACTGGGGCTCTAATGAGTAAAACTGTTAAACTCTTCTGCATGTCTATTTGCAAGCATAGGTATTCATTCTGGATAAATAGTCAGGAGCCATATGGTTTAGGTGGTAGGTGTATTCATATTTAGCTCCCAAACAGGTCTTCAAAGTCCTTTTACTACTTATTTTACACCACTACAGTGTTGTGTGAGAGTTCCAGGTGTCCCTGTCCTTTCCAACACTTAGTGGTGTCAATATTTTCAATTTTAGCCACTCTCATGGGTGTTGAGAAGAATCTCATTGTCACATTAATTTGCATTTTTCTAACGACTAATGATGTTGAGTACATTTTCCTATGCTTACTAGCCATGGATAAATCTCTAAAGTGTCATTCAAGTGTTTTTAAAATTGGAGTGTCTTATTTTAAGTAGTAGGATTTATTTATTTGGATACAAGTCCTTTAATAGATATGTTTTTGAATATTTTCTCTCATCTGTGGTTTTACTTTTCATTTTCTGAACATCGTTTTATTCAATAATTTTTAATTTTGATGAAGTCAAATTTATCGGTTTTTCATTTAAGGTTAATGAGTTAATGCTTTTTTTGTGCCTTCTGTAAGAAGTTTTCTTTTTTTTTAGTACTCACATTTGAACTTGTGGCTTCACACTTGCTGGGCAGGTGTTCTAGCACTTGAGCCATGGTCCAGCCCCTGTAAAAATTTTTCAATTTGTTCTTTAGTTTTTTAAAATTGATCAGGTAAGGAATAAGAATGTATTTCAAGCATACAGATATTAAAATTCAGCAAACTGTTTCAGGCATACATTTTACATTCAAGAAGCAAATACATTATACCTTAAAGTTTACACTATTTTAAAATTTTACACACAAATATAAGCTCAGAGTGGCCACACAGGATAGTATAACCGAAGTAACCAGCTCTGCTCTTTGCCTTTATCATGACTGTACTGTAGTTTACATTGAATCTCTTATTTAAACAAAGGACTATGCAGTGTCAAATGGGTTAGAGATATGACCTGCACCTGAGCAAACCTTCATTTGTTAACATTACAAATCCTAAACCAAAGGTTGGTGATCTTTCTCTGTAAAGGACCAATCTTTCTTCTGATAGGAAGTGTTTCAGCCTTTGCAGTCATTATTGTCTATTGTAACTTACTCAGCTCAGCTGTCAGTGTGAAGGCAGCCACCGGCAATGCATGAACAAGTGGGAATGAATGAATCCCAACAAATTTTTATTACAGACACTGAGATACTGTTTTGATGTTTCCAGCCATTGAACTGTGTAAAAGTCATTCTTAGCTCATGGATGCACAAAAACAGGCAGCATGCAGATTTGGTCTCGGATTTCTGACCCCACAGCCCAGGGCAAGCTCAGTTTTTGCCAGTGCTCATTGCTGCCCCCTCTTTATTTCTGGCTCCCCTCCACACTGCTGGAGCAGCCATTTGGGTGCTAGGCTCTAGACTTTGTCTCCTGTGTGCGGCAGCTGGGACTGTACACTGAGCTCAGGGCAAAGAGATTTTTGCCCAAACCCCAAGGACAAAAATTATCTTGTCTACTACCTTACTTCTGAGTTTTTGTATTTGCTTTGCTTTTGGTCTTTGGATTTCTTAAATTTCTTATCAGCTCAATTTTACACCTTATACAGCATCTGGTGCTGTTTGAAGGAGGATTTTTAGCTTATTAGGGCATTTGGCATTTTGCTAGAAACAGATCCACTAAGTGCAAGCGAGTTGTATTCACAGTACTTAAAAGCACTGTGTTCCTCACCCTCTTTATCTTACAATTTTTTCAAAAGTTTGGAGATGAAAGTCTGACTGTTTTTTGGTGTGGTACTGGGACTTGAACTCAGGGCCTACACCTTGAGTCACTCCACCAGCCCTTTCTTTGTGTGTGGTGGGTTTTTTCAAGATAGGGTCTTAAGAACTATTGTCTAGGCTGGCTTCAAACCATTATCTTCTTGATCTCTGCCTCCTAACTAGGTAGGATTACAGGCATGAGCCACCAGCACCTGGCAGTCCTAGACTTTTTGATCCACTTCTAGAAGTTGTATGTTACCTCAAAAACTGTTATGTAAGCTTTTTTTTTTTTTTGGTGATACTGAGTTTGAACTCAGGGCCTCACGCTTGCTAGGCAGGTGCTGAACTACCTGAGCCACTCTGCCAGCTCCTCCCCTACCACCAGTAATATTGTCAATATTGGTAAGATTGACTCAATGCTGTTTGACCACTTGAAATACCTGTAAATGAAAACAGAAACGTCTATCAAGGCTTAATTACTGTTTAATTATAAACAGAACCTAGACGTATTTATCTGTTTCTTAAAAAATGATAAAAGATTTAAAATTTATTAAATCAGTAAGAAATACCAAATAAGAGGAAATAACATTTGAAATGACTGAAGATTACTACATCTATTCAATCTAGTTTGATGTGGTTAAGACTTAATAGGCCATCCCTGGTCTTTAAGAAGGATCACTCAAGTTTTATTCTGCTTATATGCTCTTAACTTTTCACATTAGCACAATTTCTGAAACTCTCTAAATGATGTGGGTGTGATCTTAGAAATAGTTCCTGAGGATTGGTGGAGTGGCTCAAGTGGTAGAGAATCTGCCTTGCATGTGTGAAGCTCTGACTTCAAACCCCAGTACCACCAAAAAAAAAAAAAAAAAAAAGTTCCTGATTCTGGTAAGTTTTTCTTATAAGCACAACTTTTCCAAATAGAAACTTAATGCTGTCAACTTGATTTTAAGTGTCATTTGGTTGTAATCTGTAGACAAATTCCAAACTCTTTGGTACTTTCTTGATGATAATACAATTAAAACACACTAACAAACTTTCTTCACTATCAACTTAATTTAGGCTTTCACATTTTATTTTAGCCCATTATCAAATGTATGGTTTGCAAATATTTTCTCCCATTCTATTGTCTCTTCACTGTTTCTTTTGCTGTGCAGAAGCTTTTAAGTTTGATATAAGACCATTTGTCAATTTTTGCTGTTTCCTATGCTTTTGGGTTTCTCTCCAGAAAATCACTGCCCATACCATTATCAAGAAGTGTTTCCTGTTTTCTTACAGTAGTTTCTAAGTTTCAGGTCTTGGATCCATCTTGAGTTGATCTTGTACAGCGCGAGAGTAGGGTTCGAGTTTGTTTTCTACATGTGAATATCCAGTTTTCCTAGCACCATTTGTCTAAGAGGCTGTTCTTTCTCCAATGTGTTCTTGGAGAAACAAGAACACATTGAGAACTGGTTGAGAATCAGTTGGTTAGACAGAGGGCTTATTTATGAATCTCTTAATTTTTTTCATTTGTTTGTTCTCTAACTTCTTCTTTAGTTTATGTGTATTCTATGCCAATACCACACACAGTTCTGGTAACTATGGCTCTATAGTATGTCTTGAAAACAGATATTGTGATGTCTTTTTTTTTTTTTTTTGTAGTACTGGGGTTTGAACTCAGGGCTTTGCACTTGCAAAGTAGGCACTCTACCACTTGAGCAACACCTCCAGTACATTTTTCTTTGGTTATTTTGGAGATGGGGGTCTCTAGAACTATTTGCCAAGGCTGGTCTCAAACCTCAATCCTCCCTACCTCAGCCTCACAAGTAGCTAGGATTATAGGTGTAAGCCACCCCAGGGCCTGGCTTGCTTTTTGTTCGGGATTCTTTGACTATTAATGGTCTTTTGTGTTTCCATATGGATTTTAAAACTTTTTTTCCCCCTAGTTTTGCAAAGAATTTCATTGGTATTTTCATAGGGATTATATTGAATCTGTAGATTGTTTTGAGTAACACAGATGTTTTAACAATATTTTCAATCCATGAACTTGGGATGTCTTGTGTGGGGGGGGCCTTTCTCAATTTCTTCATTAGTATTTTGTAATTTTCATTGTAGAGGTCTTTCACTTTAAGTTCATTCTGAGGCATTTATAAGCTATTGTGAATGCAATTGTTTTTGTGATTGTTTTCTCAAATTCATTATTGTTATAAACTACTGAGTTTGTATGTTGACTTTGTATCCTGCTACTTTACTAAATTCATTAGTTCTAATAGTCTTGGTGGACTCCTCAGGATTTTCTTTCTGTATACAATATCATCTGCAAGTAGATCACGTGACTTCCTCTTTGTATGCCTTTTCTCTCTTGCCTAACTGCTCTAAAATGCTTAGTACAATTTAGGATAAGAGTGGTGAGAGTGGACCCCTTGCCTAATTCCTAATCTTAGAGGAAATGCTTTCAGCTTCCCCCATTTTGTATGGCATTAGCTTTGGTTTTGTTACATTAGCCTTTATTACATCAATGTCCAATGGTTCCTTAATTTGTTCAGGTCTTTTATGATGAAGGGATGTTGACTTTTATTAAATGAGATGATCATATGATTTGTCATCTTCATTACATTTTTTGGTACTAGGGCCTAGGGACTGATCTCAGGGCCTCATGCTTGCTAGGCAAGTGCCCTCTACCACTTGAGTCATGCCCTAAGCTCAATAATAATCTTTCTAATGAGCTGTTGAATTTGATTTGCTAGCCATTTTGTTGAGAATTTTTGCATCTATGCTCATCAGGTAGTTTTTTTCTTTCTTTTCTTGTTCTTCCACTTTTCCTTCCTTCTTTTTTGTTGTGTCCTTATCTGGTTTTGGTAACAGGGTTAACGGTGGCCTTAAAGAGTAAGTCTGAAAGGATTCCCTCCATTTAAGTTCTTTGAAATAGTTTAAGAACTGGTATTAGTTTTTTGTTAAGTTTGGTAAAACTGAACAATGAAGTCTTCTGCATACTGGACTTTTCCTAAAGGCAGTTAAAACTAATGTGATGCTTCAGGATGGGGACTAGACATTTCAGAAAAACCAATCATCTGATAGAGGGCTGGGACTTTAAGAGATGTGATATCAGCCTAACCACCAGGGAAGGGATAATACATAGAGACTGAGTTGAACTGCATGGCCAATGATTCAATTATATGTATGTAATATAACCCTATGAAAACTCTGAACACCAAAGTTCAGATGCACTCACATGGAGAGGACATAGAAACTTCACATTAAGGCCCTTCCCATAACTCTTGACTGCTTTCTATTATGGTTGTAATCACAACCATAGAGCATTCCTAAATTTTGTGAGTTGTTCTATTTAATTATTGAAACACAGAGAATTGTAGGGATCCTCTACATTTGTTAGTAGCACGTCTGAAGTGGCCATAACTCTGGAAAACTCTTAAGTTTGAAGCTAGAATCTGAAGTGGGGATAGTCTTACAAATTATGTCCTTAATCTATTATATCACCTAACTCTAGGTAGTATCAGAACTATATTGTAAAGGTTTATTATTACTTGTACCTTGTGCTACTTTCATTACCTCTAAGTTTATCTAGAAGCTGCAAGAATTTTTAAAGGACAAACCTACTTTGCATTATATAATGGGAAAAAAAGCATTGTAATTGTAGATACTGTGATTACTTCTAAAGTAAATAAAATATCAGGCATATTTTTCATACAACAAACTTTTATTATGTTCCATAGGTACATCCTAGTTGTCAGGATACAAAGATAAAACACAATTCTTGTTGTCAGGGAGCTTATATCCAGAAAAGACTGGGACAAACCACTGCAGGGAGTGGATGGGGAAGAGAAGCAGGTGTGAAGTAGTGACATCAGGATTAAAATATGAGATTTGAGCAGGGTAAAATGAGGAGGAAGAGTA